GTTTGTGTGTGTGTTTGGGAAAGATGGTGCTGAGGATGCTGAGGGGTCTGCCAGTTTCATAGTGTTTGCCATATGCTTAGCATGAGCGTCATCATCCCCTACATATCTTGCGTTTGGGGGGAGGGACATTCTGACAAACCTCACTTGGAAGTTACAGAGGGAGTTGTCCCCACTTAAGGCCTGGGGCCTTGGCAAAGTGATTCCTCATCCTTGAACCGCTGTCTAGTCCCCGCGTTTGTGGGTTGCACCGAACAAAGACACGCTGATCCAATGCAGTGCTGGGCTCCTTCCATTTTGAAGTGAGTATGAGTTGTAATTTGGTAACTGTTGGGTGGCATCATTTACGCGGGGATTTGTGTCCCCCAACCATATTTGAGAGTGTGACATTGCTTTTCTTACGGCCTCGTGTTGCCCTATGTCGATTTAAGTTGCTAAATTGGATGCTCGCCCAGTTCTTTCGCAGGGTGTACGTGTGTGTGTGTATACTAAGTCAATGACTGCTGCGGAACTGCAGCAAGACACCGGTTCGAAGCACTCAGAACCGGGGCTTGACGAGTGTTTGGAGACTGCTGACGCTTCCTTGGTAATACTCCACAAAAACGCAGCTGTGTGATACAACAGGAAAACAGACAAAGCGCAGGTTGATCCTGTGCATACATTGTGGAGGTGGATTGAATCTTGGAGGATTTCATGCGGATAGCAATCCCTAAATGGACCGGAATCCTTTCCTCAAGGATGTATTGTGTTGCCCTAGCATTGCTGCGGTACTGTTGTTCAATGGAAGGTTGAATCACAGCACCGGAAATGTTGTTTGAGCCAAGGCACTTTGCATGCTCTATGACGTTCACATCAAGCTGAAGCCCCCAACCATGCAACCTTGGGTTGTTCAAAGGCCCATTTCTTACCCTGCAAATCCACGGAAGTGCTCCAACAATCCAAAGGCGATGCGACTGGAAGTTCTGCCAATGCTTGGGGGGGGGGGGGCCTTCGAGCCCGAGGTATGGCCTGAAATGGCAGGCGCAGGGCCACGGGTTCTTCGACCTCTTCCACTTTATTGAGGAGCGGGCTTCTGACACCCGGGCAGGGCATCTCCGAGTTGCTTCTTAATTTTCGGGGGAGTCCCTTTTAAAACCGACGATGTCCAACAGAAAGTGGTCCAATTTTTACAACACATGGCAGGAGGTTACTCTAAAGTCGGATTTGTGAGATTCAACTGGCTTGCTCAAACTATTGTAAGCGTTCTGAAGATTGCTTTGGAGGGCTTCCCTGGCTTCCAACCATACGACAGTTGTTTGGATGTCTCTCTGGACGCAGACTGAACATGGACCCCCAAAGAGGAGTGGTTTGATCCCCGCCCTCTACGAGTATTGTAAGGGGGGGCATACGCTCGATTTTCTTGGACCCTTGTCCATGTTTCTTCGGAATGTGCTACGAGGGTAAGGAGGCGAAGACGTTCTCCGGATGGAGGTAGGTATGTGTTAGTTTTTGTTTGACATGAGCCCCGTCGTTTTTGCGAAACATCTTCTTTTGCGGAAAAGGACTCCAACATGCAGGCCGACCAAGGGGAAAACACACAAGTTCTTGATTTCAGGCTGTATCCTCAGCTTTCGGGGACTATGGACAAGGAATAGGGTGCGTGTCGTTTTTGCTGAGGGTTGGCCCGGGCCCTGAGTTGCCAGACTTTTAAAAACTGTTTGTTGGCTGTATGGGTTCATGAAAGGAGCCCCCGCCAGAGGCCTCCCCCTGGCAAGAAAGCCTGGGCAGGGCTGGGGGGGGGTGGGAGTCTCAGGAGTACGCCGAATGGTTTTGTGAATCATCACTTTAGTCGAGGCCCAAATGAAAGGCGGCAAAGTAAATCTGCCACACAAAGCAGGGGCACTCACTGGTCAGTCCATGGGAACGGCATGTCTTGTGGATAAGTCCATGCGCCTGTCCCTGAGCGCGCCAGACGGATAGCAACAACGGGGCGACGCACTACGTGCCCCATTACGAGGCGAAGAGGCCACACGCATTGGCCCTCCTTAGGTCCATCCCCTGTCCGGACCTTCAAACCTCCGTTGGGACTTCCATTTGCTGAAAACTGTTTTATTCTTTGGTGATTGAAAGGGAATCTCTCACTACTGGACATATCTCATTTTTTCCCGGGGACTTCAGCAAATGGAAGGGAACATGTTCCTATGTCATATGTTTTTTTTGGGAGGAGGCTTCTCTTGTTACATTCAAATCGTGCTTTGGATTGCTGGTTTGGCTTTGAATCTCACCCCACGGCACTTGAGGAATGTGAAGCTCCGCATCGGCACCAAACCGGCAAGAGGGAAGCTGACTATAATCTGGAACATCCCTGGGTTTACATCCTTGATAAATGGGACCAAGAGGGAAGCTGCGCCTCCTTTGAAGCCAGCTCCAAAATCTCTGCATATCTTTTGTTCTCCTACTTGGGCATCATAGTAAATGGTTAGAAACAGGGCTATCCCACCAAGGGAGACAGATAAGTGGGTTCTAACCTATACAGGGTCACCAACAACTTACTAACTTGGCCGACACCCAAGCACTGTTTCGGATCACATACCCTGACTTTCAGTTCTGCTCTTCCATTGGTCCAGTGGGGATCTCCTTAAAGTTTCAGGCTCAAGTGGACAAACCAAGCACCCAGCACCCAACCAAGCGCCAGGAGCAACGCATGTACTCGGCTTTGGGAGATGACACCACGCAACTTCGTGCCATGCCACGGTCAAAGGTAGGGATTTTGATGGACCCTTCAGGAATGTTGACAGAATAGTTCCTTGCAAGGGGACCATGGCTACGGCCTGCATTCATGGAGTTGGACACATTGGAAGCTGGCAATCATTCCGCTTAGGACGTGCTTGTTGTATCTACCTCGGATGCTTCTTGTGCAACTCAAGCGAGCGCGCTGATGTTCATCCCCAGTTCTTGCTGAGAAGAAGCTGCTTTGGTTTTGCCTTAAGCTGCAAAGCTAAAAAGGCCCAAATAATCAGCGTTTCACAGAGATTCCCTACTCCACAGTGTCCCGAGTGAATGGACTCGCACTGCTGGTGCAAGAAAAAGTGCCATGAGCCACCATGCACCTCAAATGCTTCATATGCCTGACAATATGATCAGGAGACAGCGGTTGGAGACTGCCATCCCACCAGAAATCGATACCCCGGCACTAGTGTTCGATAGTTTACAGTATTCCTCCAGGGTCGCTTGGTACCTGCTAAGTACTTAAGGGTCAACATGGGTCAAAGTATTGGTTACCCTTTTGTCGTTTGCTTTAAAGGGACACCACAAGGGAAACCGCAATTTGGGGGTGCCTTCATGCGACACAGACCCATACCCTCCGACTTTCTGGAAGCTAATACGAGGATTCTCGAAGACTACTTTCTTTTGTTGGGAAGCCCCGGAGCCCACTTCCATGGTTGGAAAAAGGAAGCTCCCGAAATCCAGCACCCTCTTTTCTTAGGGTATGATGTTAGAAAAAGGAGGTTACCATGAAAAACCTGGCTTTTCCCCTGAACGCGGGTGCGCGGCCGGGATACAAAAGGCCGGCCCCGCTCTAGCCAATCCGAATCCGCGTGAATCGGATCGCAGGTTGGGCATTGCCGAGTCCTCAGAAGAGGTTCACCTGGGTGTGTCCTTTTATCAGAGACCCCGCCCAAGTTGGATTTTGGTTCCCTGTGTTTTTTCTTTAAAACCACTAAGAAAGGGGTGCCAACTCCAAAAACAGACACCACCTCATACATTGTCACAACCCAATCCCAATGCTTCCGGGCAAGCTGCTGTAGTTGGCTTCCAGGGGAACCCATTGGCAAGACCTGGTAAGAACCCCCCTCCAAGTGCCTACAAAAAGGTGGCGAAGCGCCGAAGGGAAGCACTGGGAATGCTGAGAAGGCGAGCGCCTTGCCTTGCAAGGGAGAGTTGCCCATAGGTCCTCCATGGCACTAGTGACTTCACTCGGCAACAGCAAGCCCTGCTCTGAATAATTTGGATGTGCATAGGCATAGGGCCGGGGAAATTCTTCAAACCACAATCTTGTGTTTTGCTGGCTCTTGACCCTTTCCAGAGAGGACAGTTTATTTCGCTGGTTTGTGCACCTCCTTCTTGGTGAGTCGACGTTTATTTGCCATGCGTGTTGCCAAAAGGGCACCAAGGCCGCAAAAGCTCCCTTGTGGGGAAAAGCTCAAGGTTGCTGCGCAGATCATCTCACTTGTCCAAGGCGAATCGACCTGATCTGACCTTTCGGTTTCCACTTTCTGGTTTCAGTTTTTGGTCAGCCCAGAAAAGGTCACCGCTTTTTTTTTGCGGCCACGCACCACTTCCGTTGCCATGGGCTTGAAAGGGTATTTCTGTGAGTACCATCTAAGAACCAAACACCTGCTGGGGTGTTTGGCCAAGCTAGTAAGTTGTTGGTAACTTAGACTGTAACCCACGTATAAGTGTATAAGTCCCCCTTATTGTGGTTAACCCTGTTATTTGTGGGTAACCCAAGAGTGGCTATCCACTTGACCTGGCTGGCCGAACATCCAAGTAGTCCTTCCCTTCGGCGGTTCGCTACTCAGTATGAGGCAAGGGAAAACCATCCAGGTAAGAAACCCGTTTCGGGTTACTTCCTCAGTGGCAAGCGCCACTCGAGTACGAATCAATGGTCTGGATGGTCTGGGATGAGTCGCGTGGTTTGTGAACATGGTTCTGGGTCTGGTTGTAAGTTCCCCTCTGAATTTGTAGCCAGGGGAAGAATAACAACCACATTGAGCTAAGTCCCGGACCTGCTGAGTTCACGGACTTCAAAGCTTGTTGCGATGATTGCTCAAGCGTCTACTGGGAGTGTGCATATGTTTTTCCAGGGGGCTTAAAGAAAATGGAGGCTTTGGTTATCTTTCCTGAGCAATCCACTCAAGTCACCCAAGTGAGTATAGGGTTGATTGCCAGGTGGCTTTGCTTCTTTGCTGGAAGCGCACGATTCGAATCGCAAGGTGGAGGAGCACTCCAACCATGCCATCATGCGAGCCGGGCCCAGGAGAAGGGGAGAGAGATCCCCACCTCAGGTTATACTTTATAGTTGGTGCTTTGGTAACTGGGAAACGTCTTTGTTTTCTTCCTGCTGGGTTTGTCAGGTAACCCTTCGTTGGTGAATTGGATTGGTGGTTTTGGGGTTTGAACCCCTGGTTCTTGTGGAGGGTAAATCAGTTGGAGGGAAGCTGACAATCCGTGCGTAGGCCCGCACAGAGGCCTCCTACGTATTACGCCCCCAAGGCGACGTCGGTGTGACGCGCAAAAAGCGTCGGACGCAAGGCGACCCCATTTCCACCGGGCGGCAAATGCGTTTCAGCCATCCGGGCGTTTTGGAATGGGACGAGCGAGAACTCAACGCAAAATTCAGCAAAGCGAGCGAAAGGATGCCGCGATGGTACAGCAAGCCTGTTGTTTTGCCTGTTCTGTGGAGGGCGGAACCCCGATTAAATCAAGCAGCAACAACAAAGGTTGTTTCCTTGTGTGGTTGTTGAAGGGTTTTGGCGGGGGTCCCCTCAAACTTACCCAATGGCATTGTCACCGTGGGGAGGTTGCAGGTTTTGTATTGTTTCGCCTGGAATCCACAGGTCTGGGTCTCTGATTCCCGGCTGGGGCGCCCTCTTGTCAGCGCCAGTCTGTGTGTCCCATGTCCGGGGTCTCCTCTAACGTTCTTCTATAGTATAAACATATGAAGCAGAAAGTGAGACCGATATTCCTGGTGAACCCCAGAGTTGGGCAAATGCGCCCTGCACAGTAGCTGAGTAGCTTGACCGCGGCTGTGGCAACTTGAGCTGACATGAGGCTCTTGTTCTGCTGGCGAGCAACCCGCAAATCGCAGTTTAGCTTTCCAGGAGCCCCCGGCAAGATCCATGTGGGTTTGTCTCAAAGGGGAACCCACCAAAAGGAAACGGTTTCAGCCAACAAAAGCACACCCGAATCTCGCTTTGGTACCCCTTTTGGGCCAATCCAAAGTGGGTTTCCTTTGCTAAAGGGGACCGGGTATTGAGCCCAAACAGGTCACATAAATAAAGCCTTAAGGCACTTGGGTCTTATCTTGGGGCTTTACTCGTCGATTGGGGGGCGGGCGGGGTGCTCGCCTGTAGTCGGAGGAAGTGTCCGTTGCTTTGCCGAACCACCCTTTCAGGGTTAAAAAGTTGAGCCACTTCCAACATGATTAATCTTCGCGAGCTAACTTGAAGCGGGTGGTCTTTGGATGAACCAATCCATTTGCGCCCCGAGTAATGTTAGGGCCGCTTTGAACCCGGGGTCGCTATTGTAGAATGTGTTTTCTTAGTTTAGAATCCAGTGACTTTCGAGGGTCCCTTCAATATTTGTGCTGCCCATCGCAAAACAAACACCGGGCAAACAAATCCGAGCGTATAATTGGAGTTCCTTGTTCGAAGTGGTCCCCAAACCATCAAATGTCAGATATTGTCCTTATGTGGTTGAAATTCCCAAATCAGAGACTTGGCCTTGTATTGTTGAAGGGTGGTTCATCCTTTTGCAATACCATATTTAGTTATCGGACTCTGAAGGGCAATGCTAAATTAATGCTGGGAATCAGAGAGTAAGCCTTGGCCTTGGCAATGCAAATTTATAATTGGCAATGCCAAGCAAGTCGAAGTCGAATCCAGACCCACAACGTTCTCACTAAAGACATCCCCGGTGACTGGTGGCACTGTTCGGGGGGCGGGGGGGGTCTTAAAGCAGCTCCAGCATGAGTGCTTCTCCAAATGGGTGTACCTCGTTTTTTGTTCTGGGTTCACAGGAAAACCAAAAGGAAAACCACAGTTTTAGTGGATTTCCTTCCGAGAAAAAAAGAAGAAAAAAAGGAAAGCAACAAAAACCACAACGCCCAAATCGCTGAAAGCGCGTTTTTCCCTGGAGACTCACATGGACGCCGTGCGCGCCACTCCTCCGCGCCAAAATAACCCCGCCGCCGCCACGACAGGAGCCCATCGAAACGGATGAAGCGCACCAGCGCCAAGATCTTCTCGAAGTCCTACTGGATCCTCGGCCTTTTGATCGCTCGGTTTGGTCTTCCGGAACTTGGTTCCAAAAAGGGAAAGCCGGAAAACCTAAATGAAGCTGAACAGAAGCACCATTTCGGGGGGGCGCTCGGTTTGGTCTTGGGGAACAAAGGTTCGGGACAGGAAACCAATAGAAAGCTAAGATGTTGTTGCAATTTCAAGCCTCTGGGGCGTTCAGGCCCCAGACTTCCCCTTGCAAAGTTCCTTTTTTAGAAGGCTTTCAAGTGGAAGCTCTTCCAAAAGGAAGCTGAAGCACCATGTTGGGGGTCCCCTATTTTAAGACACACCCAGCTATCTTTTGTGGGGTATGACGTCAACCCTCTATATATTTGGAGGTGTTTGCCGCGGTTTCCCCATTTGTTTTCCAAAACATCCTTCAAACAAACGGAATGTTGAGTAAGGGGTATCTTGGGCGACCCTTTGAATGGGTTCTAACAGGTCAACCGGATGAAACGCGCATGATTGTCCGGTGCAAGCGATCGGAGCCGGTTTTCGGATGGGACCCCTGACTCTCGGTTGACCCCCGGGGGTGGATTGCATGTAGCAAATTCAGCCGCGCCCAAGCGCCCTATAGGCACTTTTAGTCGGACCTCGTTTAATGGGTAACTGGAGAAGCCTACATGCTACATAAACCTGAATATATGACTTCTCGCCACTCAATACCCGAGTTTCTGCTCTTTGTATTTTGGAAGGAGCATTGAAGTGGCAAACAACAAGTCTAGAGTTGTTTGGACCACTCCACTCAGGAAGTGAGGTTAGAACCAAAAGTCAGCTCGGGTTTTCTCGGGCGCTGCATTTAGTGGTGCCTGTGGAGGAGGGGGACAAATAAACCGGCCAACAAATGGTGTCCGATGAAACCCAGGGCCATGATATTTCCCCTTAAAGTGAAGTTTGTTGATCAGGTTGATTAATTTTGCCATTGGCCGGGTGATGGTGACATATGAGGGCCGTCCTAAAACCCCAGTCTTCGGTTTTAATTATCGCCGAACGGGGAGAAGTAAAAGTTGTCAAAAGCTGTGCGCGCGCAAGGAGCGCGCAAGTGCGGCCCAAGGGACGCGCAAGGTTACAGTTTTGAAGGGTTTCATGTACTGATGTTGCCTAGCTTCATGAAAGGAGGTGATATGTTCTTGCTGTACTTGTGCTTTTCGAATCAGTCAGACGCCAAACGAAGCCAAAGCTTCTGCGGTCATGACTTCAACCATCAACAATTGACACGACAAAATCCGCGCAAGCCGCGCGCAAGCCGCGCGCAAGTTGCGCGCAAGCACGAGAAGCCCCAGCGAGACTCTAGCCGTGCTGTCTCGGATGTCCTTAGCGGCGCGGTTCAAGCAACGGATAGGCACCCGCAACATGCACTTTCCTTCTTTCAGGCTGTGTCCAAGCTGTGTGGCAGAGCCTGCTGCTCTTTCTGTTGGGTCAAGGGTATGTTGCTGGCATTGAATTGCCGGGAGCGACCTCAGCGGGAAAAGTCTTTGTGGGTTGCTGTGTGAACGACAAACACACTGCTTAGAAAAGCTTGCGCGCAATCCACACGAAAACTTCGCAAACCGAGATCAACGAAAACGAATTTCTGCGCCACTGCGCGCGCAAGTACGCGCAAGTGCCGCGCAAGTGCGGCCCAAGGGCCAAATCGCGGGCAAAGGAATATAGGACAACCCCCATATAAACCCTGCAAGCATGGCATGTCAAACGTTCTCGCCTTGTTGAGCCAAGACGCCCTCTCCGAGTTTGATGCATACGCAAACGCCATTAAAAGCGTGGGCCCACGGCGCAGGGGAGTCTGATCACAAGAGTTGGGCCATTGAAAGCATTAATTACCTCGTCCATCAGATGTTCTGGGGTGTTCAGGTGGATAATGGGACCCCCTGTAGTGTGGCTGTATACCGTGCTACCCTTCTGCCTGGATTGTCTTCAGATGCATGGCAGGTCGGAACAAAAGGATTCGGCCAAAGGTTTCGACCTGTCGTAGCTTCAACGTTCCGCAGGTGATGCTGTGTGTGTGTGTGTGTGTTTTGTGTGTCTTTTAGGACACAGAAGGGTCAGGTTTCCCTCAATGTACTTGGTGGGTTGGATTCTTGTCATGGTAAAGAGCAAATTGGACGCCAGTTCCGAACCTACAAGCCACGAATCCAAGCCGCCAGGCAGAGGGAAGCTGGAAGGTTGGTTTAAAGCATCCGAAAACCATTTAGGGATCCATTTCAAGACGCCAAATGAGCGTGGTGCGGACCCAGCCTTGAGGAACTACTTCTTGGTCACGATGCGCTTCACTCATGCCTGGGCCTGTTTTCATGCCGCAATGCGGGTGGGTTTGTGTCCAAATGAGTTTTAAACCACCAACGATCGCTGGTATCCCAATATAGTTTCCCCTTGGTTTCCGTTTTGAAACAGCCCAAAAACAATCCACAGTTATATGCTTGTGCACCGAGATACCGTCTTTCTCGGGGCACTCACAGGGATATTAGCTTGCCGCTGAAGAAACGAAACAAGAAGCCGAAGATCTTGCACGTCGCTGGAAACTCTTTGTGTTGCACTCTAGGTAAACTCGTGCCCCAATGTGAATGAATGCTTTGAGGAACTGTATGATTGGACGGGTGTGTCTTGGTGTCGCTCTTGAGTCAAATCAAAACTCATTGGGAGGATTCTAATGCTTTTGACGGATAGATTTTGATGACAACGACCCCGCAAGCCCTGACTGTAGCGACGGCCATGAGCACCAAGATTGTGGTGCCTTGGTGCTTCAGGAAGTCAGTCATTGAATCGGGGACCAGATCGCATTAGACCGGATATCGGGGACAAGTTGCAAACCGCCGTGACGTCCTGCATTTTGAAGGTGTGTTGTGATTCTGAGGGTACCCTTTTGGGTATCAATTTAAACCACCATTTTTGGGGACACACCTGACACACCCAAATGCGTAGGCCCAAGCGGTATCCCCGACAGCCTCAGCAACCCCGAGCTCTCGAGCAACCAAGCCCGGGCCGCCCCCAAAGCATTGGCTAGGACTATATAGCGGTCATTCAGGATGCCTTCCAATTACAGTACAAAGGAACAATGTCTTTTGGAGGTCTCATGCAAGTGAAAGAAGGTTGTTTTTGATTCGGTGGTGGGTTTCAAACTTGAAAGTCACCCCCCCGCCTCATTTGTAGTTGTTAGGATGTGTTTCCGTTTGAATTAACCAACAACGCGTGGCCACAAGTTCGTTGGGTCCACTGGGCCCCGCTACCTTTAAAGGGAAGCCGGTTGTTGTCGCGGTGATGGTGTGAGTATTGAAGGTGGTTGGCCCTCCGCTCAAATAACTCCCCTTTTCAAATCCCTATATGCTTTGGTTTAGGTTGGTTTGCTGTAAACAAGGGCGCTGTACTGGACGCTTTGCTTTTTCCCGCAAATTAACCACTATAGGCCGGGACTCAGTGTGCCTCAAAATAGTATGCTTTGTGGATAAGGGAGTCCTGCCCCCTAAATAACCTAACCCAGTGCTTCCAGCTGCCACTACAATAGGTAACCCTTCCGGTTGATTACCTCTATTCTGGTCACCTAACCTCGTGCTTCTGCGTTTCGCCAAAGGTACGTGAGCCTTTCAGAGGGTTGGTTACCCAGTGTTGCCATGGATGGGTTGAATGGGTTTTCGCTGGTGACCAACTCCAACGCCCAGAAGCGGGGAATGAATCGACTCCAGGTGCCCTTCGGGTGCGGGGTGTGGCCGGCCTTCTGGACCCACGCGCCGCAGGGGGCCCAAGCCGAGAAACAAAAATCCAAATGGGTTCAGTGGGGAAAACGTCAAAGCGCCACATGATGGGAGAAGCCACTTTTCAGACCTGTCAGCTTGGATTGGTAGTTTGGATTGGTTTGGTTTTTCTCAAGGGAAACCACCCTCATTCAAAATGTCACCTTCAAACCACCAATCCAAAGAAATAGTTAGAGGGAAGCTGATCCCGTGAGTTGGGACAAAGGGCCCCGGTTTTGCGGCGGGAAAGTCCAAGTCAGCTGCCGAAGGCCAGGATCCACGACGGACAAGAATCGGTTCAGGCACTTCAAAGGGGACCCGAAAAGCGGTTTGGCGCCCTACAAGATGGGTCACAGCCCCAGTGGAAGAGGAGGTCAAGTAACACTTCACTTGCAAGTGACAGCATGTGATCCAATTTCGGCAAGCCACCATCGCATAAGGGTGACGACCCCGTGGCCATGGTTTTGGACCCGCCGCTTCTCCAACTGCATGGATTCCGCCAGCATTTTATTCACAAACTTTCAGGTTGGTTGGGGAAACTTAGAGGACACCGTCATGGGGTTTTGTCTTTGAGGCACAAGGTTCGGTTTATGCGATGTGCATGGTTCATTTGGGGACCGACATGAGGGACTCTTGGAATTTCCAACAAGAATCGGGGGACTCTCTAATTCTCGCATGTCAAGTATAGAGGAAAAGAGTAAGGTGACTCTGGCAATAGTTTTTTTGTAGATGGCAAAGCAATGCCTGTGAGGTAATCGGTGCAAGAAACAGACGTGTATTTGAACACTGCAGTGACACACTCCCAGGCGCACAACCCCACCCCCACGCCCATGCACATGCACACGCACATGCGCCTCACTCACACTCACTCTCTCCCTCACTCCACCCCACCCCACCCCACCCCACCCCACCCCACCCCACCCCACCCCACCCCAACCCAACCCAACCCAACCCAACCCAACCCAACCCAACCCACCCCACCCCACCCCACCCCACCCCACCCCACCCCACCCCACCCCACCCCACCCCACCCCACCCCACTCCACTCCACTCCACTCCACTCCACTCCACTCCACTCCACTCCACTCCACTCCACTCCACTCCACTCCACTCCACTCCACTCCACTCCACTCCACTCCACACACACACACGCACTCGTACACGTCCGCACACTGTCGCTCGTGCGCGCGCACGCGCAATAATGTTTCTTGCCAGCGTTGTGACATTTGACCTGACGCCAGAGATTTGTTGTTTGTTAACAAGTCATCTCAGGCAACCTTCCATCTAGTTGGATAGTGAAAACGAGGGTTAAACCGAAAAGAACCCAAGTGTGCCATGCGAAAAGGAGACAGGGCACAGGATGAAAACAAAAATGGAAAGCAACATCGTGTTCAGGGGACCAAACCTTGTTTTGAGAAACACCCATAGAAAGGCGCCAAGAAACAGGGCGCCACTTGTTTCTCAGATCCAGGCGCTCGGTGTGGCCCAACGGAGGCAAGAAATCAGCGGGGAGGAGTGAATGGAGCGATTCGAATCGCCCATGAACCAGAGTCCATCATGGATTTGTCTTGCTTTAGAGAAAGAGAAAGAGAGAAAGACAAAGAGAGAGAGAGAGAGAGCGAGAGAGAGAAAGATAAAGAGAGAAAGAGAGAACCACAAAATGGATTTCGGTTTTCTGAATGGTTTCCCTGAGAAAAAAGCAGGGGTACTCTTAGCAACACAGAAACACTGCAGGGAGACGCATCTCGCCTCAACCGAGATGGAAGACAAACTCGGCATGTTGTTATCAACGTTTTACCTTAAGCCAAGTTCAGAAGCATTGGTGGTTGCTCGCTTAACTTAACTCAGAGTCGGTTTCTAGGAAGAACCGAAATACTGCCTCGTTCTAAGGGTTTCTTGGTGCATTGCAAGGAAGTGCTCGGGGATCAAAATGGCTCGATGCACCATCAGAAGGAATGTCGCATGCTCTGAGTCTAAAGTTGAAGACCAAGCTACGACATGTCGGTGTCAACCGCTGTTCCCGCGATTTCTACTTCCTCCCGAGCCCACGGAAAACGTGGGGTACCCTTTGCTGGCCAGTGGTTGTATATGGCTATGCGTCGAAACCCCGTACTTTCAGTGAACATCCCAATCCCCACTAAAATAGACTAGAACGGGTGGTGCACCTACCTCAAAATGGTACCATCGGTGTTGACCCACGGACATATCCCATTAAGCCCCCGGTAGCTTTGGTTCCGTGGAAGGCATCGCTTCCCTCTCAGCTCGCAGGCGAACTGGATATCTTAGAGTGGGCGCGGGGCCTGACGGGCGCTGGATAGGTCTTCCGAACTTTGTCTCAGAAGACTGCACCAACCCCTCCCCCCCCAAAAAAACAACAACAGGTAATCTTCCTTTGGTTTCCCTTTAAACCGCCAACGCAAAGGGTACCCTAAATAAATTGATATCATTTGGTCCATTAAAGCCTGCGATTGAGGCTCGGTACTTCAAGGGGTGATTCAAATTATTTTCACCCATCGTGATCAATAGAGATTCCACACTTGTTTTCCCCCAGGAGTTTGGCAACCATTTCTTGAAGAGAAGGATGCCACCTACTCAGACGGATGGAATCACATCTTTTTAAGTGATGGTTATGCTGATACATGATGTGGGTGCTTGTGTATGTGCCTTTGTGTGTGTGTGCCTTTGTGTGCGCCTGTGCTTTTGCGTGTGCGCGTGCGCGCTCGTGCAAGAGTGCATGTGTCACTTGTACACACGCGTTGATTGAATTATCATGTTTGTCTGATTGGTGTTTGGTGCGTGGGTGGAGGGGTTGTTTCGCGTGTCCGTTTGTTGTTTGTTTGTTTGTTTGCTGGTTGGTTGGTTGCTTGCTTGCTTGCTTGCTTGCTTGCTTGCTTGCTCGCTTGGTCGGTCGGTCGGTCGGTCGGTCGGTCGGTCGGTCGGTCTGTGCGAGTGTTTCTTTTGTGCTCTTAGCTGTTTGTGTGGTTGGTTGTTGCCGGAGTGGCCGTTTCTGCTGCCATCGTCGTCGTCGTCGTTCCCGTCATCGTTGTTGTTGGTGCTGTTTCTGCTGTTCATGATTCCAAGTGTGACTCTGTTTGTTTGTGATTCCGAATCCGATCGTGATTAGTCGGCGACTGTGATTCAGATTGTGATTTGCGGGTCAATCTGAATCTGATGTTTTTTGCAGGTCACTGTGAATCTAATCGTGATTTGGTTTTGACCGTAGATCTAATTATTTATTTTTGTTGTGCAGGTTTGTCACAAGTTAGGAGACTCCCCTCCAGAACACAAAATGGTACCGTTTTCCTATGTTCATCTATGCCTCCTTCAAAGAACCCCAACAAAAAGCGACATGTTGGTCGAGCCGAAGGGCCCACAACTTTGGAAAAACCGGCGGGGAGCGTTCGTCTCAGGCGAACGACTTCCCAGGGCAGGTCTCCTTCCACACGGGGGAGCGCAACAAGTGCCGGCTCCATCACCAGGTGCTTTCGCCGAAAGCTTCGTTTGGTGCCAACATTCGGGGAAGCCTTACTGTTGAACCCCATATCAATCAACCCCAGTTTTTTGATAGGGGGTGTTCCCTCCAAAAGTGATGATTCCCTACATGTCCCTACTCAACCCAGGAACACCCCCCCATCAATAAACTGGGGTTGATTACGGGGTCAACATTAGTTGGTGGTTGGTGGTCCAGGGACTTGAAGCTCTTACCCTCTTTCCAATTATGGAAGTGGACGAGCGGGGGCTTCCCCAAAAGGCAAGTGGTTGTCCAAAACCTTCCAATCGGCAGCTTCCATGATGGTTGGTGATGTGGATTGGTGGTCTGGGGAGTTCAACCCCTCGTTTTTGCGTAATTGCCAAGATGCGTGCTTCTCACAATAGTCAGGTACCCCCCTGGTTGGTGGTTTGGATTGGTGCTTGGGAATCGAACCACTGAGCCCTGGTTCTTAACCACCAAACCACCAATCCAGACCACCAACTGGAGGGAAGCTGAAAACATGGCCCTCCTTTTGGGTTGGTGTTACAGGGAAGCCGAAAGCAACCTGCCATTTCTATCTCACAGCCAGAATATCACAAGACCAGCTAATTTTTAGGATCCAAGTCCTTCATATAATAGCGTTGGTTTGTCATGCTTAAACATTCAAACAATTCGGTTTCCCATCAAATGGGTTCATTGCCTGGTTCAAACCCAGCTCGCCCAACCCTAAGGGGGGCCCTTGTTGGATTAAGCTTCTCGGCTGGTCCAAGTGCCCCAAGATTTTGACCGTGCTGACCCCAGTACATCTGGGGTCCCAAGGGACCCATCTTCTCGAGGAGCTCCCTCATGTTCTGTCGGTTTTGCCAGTGATTGGAGCTTTGTCTTCTGTTCTTTGGCTTCTCTCGTAAGGTCAAATGGGAAATTCTACAGGGAATCCGTGGGATTTTGGTGGGTGGTTGGCAAACTTAATTGTAAAACATCCTGTGGCGGGTTTCTATGAGAAGGGCCAATTCCCTTCCTCCAGAACCCCCCCCCTTGCTCAGGAAAGGAGAGTTCGTAATTCATCGGGAAACTGGTTCAAGTTCAGGTTCACCAATATAAGGACTGCTATATCAGACTTGTGTGTGTGTGTGTCTCTAAGCTACAATTTGCCAAAGTTGCCCAATTTGCCAGGTTGGGTAAAGGGAAATCAGGAAGCCGTTTTAGTGGCAGACAATCCATTCAGGAAGTTAGTTATGGTATCCTGTGCTTCCCTTCGGTGTTTCGCCCTTTAAAGGGGCAAGTCTGTTTTTTAAGGTACCCTGTTTGTGGGGTCGGGTTCTCCTGATGATTAGAGACAAGCCCATAGAGGGGTAGCCCATGGATGGTTTCTACTACGTTGTACCATGGTTTCCGCCGGTTAATGGGAACAATCACCCTGGTTGATTTTGATGGGTCGCAGTGTCCAATTCCTTGTGGGGGTTCAGGCCACTTTGCACCAGCCGCCACCCACTGTCAATACCGTGGGTGGTGGGTGGACGTAATGTTGCACCAGTTGATAGGTCAGTCATCCCAATATTCACAGGGTTCCATTCATCCCGACTGGTGCGAAGCGGATTTTGTCCATCCGCTGGATGAACGAAATTCTGTGTAAGAAACCCTGCAACGATGATCCCCCCCCGCAGTAAACACCCAACAAGTCCATCCACAGCGTGGACTTGAGAGATCCTGCAATGTTTCCCCCCCTGGGAGAAATGCCACCACTGGTTTCCTCCTGGTTTCAAAGTGGCGCGCGGCGGATTTGGCCCATTGCAGGCGATGAATCCCCCCGGCTGCACGCCGATGCCCGGCGCCCAAGCTGCGAGGGGCGGCGTACGCGGGTCCTGGGCTCCAGTTGGCTTTGGCTTGCCTGGAGTCTCCTTCTAACCCATACAAAATGGTTGGTCATTACCCAAAATCATGGGGTCATGGACCCATTTTAAAGGGTCATGGAGACTCCAGGTGTTTTTTCCTTTTATTGGAGCTTCCTTTACGCCTGTGTCTCACAAGGGAGGCAGTTTTTGTGGGAAGCCGAAAGGAAACCGAAAGGGTTCCATGGAGCGGCTGGATTGGGTTCCAGAGGTCCGGTGCGGTTGGGGCTTTTTCTTTGCTCTGTTTCTTTGAATGGGTCAAAAAGTCTCAAGGCTGACCGCCTAGGGTTAGTTGTGCGATGCAGTATCAAATACAATTCTATGCCGCGTGCTTGCTTCGTTGCTAGAGTGTCAATCCCAGCAACGCACAACAGAACGCACACAAACTCAGCATCAGTTCTAGCAAACTCCATGAAACCCTGCTGTCCAAACAATGCCATGCCTCAACGACTACAGACTTAGAAACCGAGTGACAAGCCGCAACAACGGACTTGGTTGCGAATCCACTCGGTGGACCTGCGTTGCGAATCCTGGCATCGGGACCCGAGGCCGGATACCAACGGCATGAACTACGACTGCGACACCCACTATCCTTCCAAGCCCGGGGCCTCAAATGGCGAAGCGGAGCGCATCGGGCACTCGGGTACACGCACCCAACACCTGGGGTTTTGGGATGATATGCCGACCCCGGACGGGGGAAAGCGGTATCTGACGTGGAAAACATGTTTGTGGGGTATGTGTCAAACAATCATGAGGCGGGCACAACAAAGGGGCCGTTTTCTCTCCTTTGGGCTTCCCTAAAGCCAAGGAAAAAATTGTGTTTTCCCCAAACAAACAGACCCACTTGCACCAGCATATTTCAAGAAAGCAACATGGCCCAGGCATGTCCCACGATACTTGAAGATTGACCAATGACTATTCGGGTCCTTAGTGGCCCACGGGTCATGATCCTCGGCCCCCATAAAGGTCCCCTCGAGGGGGTCTTCCTTACTTAGTGGGTGGGGGGGATTTGAAGAGTTTGCGCAGGGTTATGGTCAAGGCCATCTTCAGGTAGGTTTGTTGCAGGCATGGATGCTATTATATACCAACCACAGACCACAACTTGGGTTTGTTTTTGTTTGTGGGTACTTTGTTTGGTGTGGTTTCAGAGGAACCAGAAGGAAAACCACCAATTTTAGGGATTCCCCTATTTTAAGACACACCCACCTGGAGGTAAACATATCTGCTGACCAGAGGTGAAAAGCCAAGCACTGATACGAGAACACCCCTAAACGGTCCCGATTGAATCGGACTGTTTCTCACAAACTTTGGCTGAAAGTTTACTGACAGGTTCTCAAGCGACACTTTCTGCCCGGCTGACTGTCAGTTTCAAGCCTGAGTGCCTCGCAACGGACCATTTGGCTAGATTTGGAGGTGACCAAATGAACCATTCCTGGCCAATGTCTGCCTTTAAGAGGCACATGATGAAATTGCAGATTTCCAAGCTTTGTAAGGCACCATTTTGGTTTTGTTGTTCTTGTTTGCTCTATGAGATCGTGTTTTTTCAACATGGTTGGAAGCCCCTTCAACAGTGTAGCGTTCCTCTGGCAGGTCTGCCACGCGCGGCTACAATTTTGATGAGGAACTGAAGACACTGAAAATGGTGGCAGACCACCAACCTAATCACATTTATTCCTTTGTGTTTCTTCTTTTTTGAGTAGTTGAAGCTATGCTGGGGGCCGCACAATCCACAAACACATCTTAAATGGAGCCGCAGCTGTGCAAACAATGCCATATCTTAGGACTGACTAAACTATGGAACAGAGCGTACTAGTTGCTGTCTACCCCTTGTGGGCCAAGATAGCCACGTGTTCCAAAGGATTCCACCGGACATCCGGATGGTATCCCGATGGCGCTGGTTGCCGCTGCTTTCCCTTGGCGCTTGCTTCATGCAGATCCCCTCCGCGGCGCGAAAGAATGTGCGGGGAGGCGCGCTGGGGGAGGGTCCTCTCGTGAGTGCGGCAGTTGGTTTCGATTGGACTTAGGGCGGGCTATGGGGGGCTATCCCCGGATACGCCGAGGATAAGCCTATAGCGCCCCTGCCCATCAACCCCCCCCCCTTGCTGGTGCGTGAAGTCGATTGGCCCCATATATGGCTTGTGGACATAAAACACATATAATACACTATCACTTCGAACCATCCCCACCCAGATTCGTGCCGTTGGTTTTTGCCTTGTGCGGCTTTGCTACTGAAGCCCGTTGCCTTGGAGACATGCCTTAGTTTCTTGGGAAAAATGTTGGACCAGCAAAGACTTTTGGCCAGCAACGACTTTTCGCCAGGATGCTGGTCCTGGTGGTTTTGGTGATGGTGGTGGGGGAGCAAACCTTGACTGCCACCATGGACCTTTTGGGAATGCTTCGAGCAGTGGGAGTGCCAGGCCTGCAAACTTCACTTATTTAGCACTATTTGAGCCTGGACATGCCGGAGTGAAGACTATCGATACATGTTTGTTGTCAAGCAGTTTCCCATTAAACTCAACCACCAAACTGTGTCCTTCGTTCCCGTAGCCAATGCAGGTCGGGATCATTGATGCTGGGCGGCATCAATGCACCTTGTTGGTTGAAGGGAAGGACAGGCAGAGATCATCAGTTGGGTCGCCAAGCACCAACCGTCACTCGTCTCTGAAATATTCATGTTCTTGGGGACTGCATATAGACCCATACGACCACCTATTTCAATGGAAGCTCACTTGCGGGTTTGTCACAAGCGAAAGCCATGGCATAGATCCTTTGCCTGGGGATCGCTTGCTTTAGGTGTTACAATTATCATACATTTGCAGAATGTATTGATTGTTTCGTTAACATAGTAGTTGCGAATCACAAACATAAGGATTAATTCATTGAGTTGTTACTCATGGAGTAGCTAATGGAAAACAATGCTAATGCTTGATGGCTAATGCTTGATGGCTACAATAATTTCTTACCTCTAGATTTTGCATGATGGATTCTGTTGGCTAGCTGGTATGGTAGCTGGAAACACCGAGCACTAGGATTCCCTTTCCCCACCGGAGTCCCGGGAGGTCTGATGTTCGAAGGGTCGCCTCATGTCTCGACAGGACTGAGACATGGCAAGCTGGGCCCTGACGCTCCTGTGCTAGCACCTTGGCTTGGAGTAAAGGTGGGAGTCATCGATTGGGGGGGGGGGGGAAACGTGCTCGCCATGATCCTTTACATCCAATTGCTTAAGAACATGTTTTGTTTTCGGAGGGGTATTTATTTTAGGATTTTTTTTTCGTTTTTTTTTGAGATTTTTTTTCGCTTTTGGCTTCTTCGCTTTTGGCTTCTTGGCTTCTTGGCTTCTTGGCTTCTTGGCTTCTTGGCTTCTTGGCTTCTCGGCTTCTTGGCTTCTTGGCTTCTCGGCTTCTTGGCTTCTCGGCTTCTCGGCTTCTGGGCTTCTTGGCTTTTTGGCTTCTTGGCTTCTTGGCTTCTTGGCTTCTTGGCTTCTTGGCTTTTCGGCTTCTTGGCTTCTCGGCTTCTGGGCTTCTAGGCTTTTCGGCTTTTTGCTGGTTTATGCGGCTTTTGGTGGCTTTTTGGCTTTTCGCATCCTCTGCATTCCCAGTTCCTCTTCGGCAGGTGGCTTTTTTCCGACATCATGGGGGGGGCTGCCGCCCCCCCCAACCCCCCCGCTACGTTTTAGATTTTCTGCAGAGATTTAATTAGTTGCACCCCTACTTGAATCATCAATTCTTCGAACATCATGGGGGGGTTGCACCCCTAGTTGAATCATCAATTCTTCGACCATCATGGGGGGGCGGCCTTAACCCCCCCGCTACTTTTTAGACTTTTTGCAGAGATTTAATTGCACCCCTATTCAAATCATCGCTTCTGCAAGCAACATCGTGGGGGGGGCTGCCGCCCCCCCCCCAACCCCCCCGCTACTTTTTATATATTTTTTACAGGGATTGACATGGCCTCCTACTTGAATCATCATTTCTTTGACCCCGTCACACGATTTGTTGGTGATGCTAGGGATGTTGGTGGGACATGCGGGGTATATTTCGCGAGAACATGCTGTAAAATACGACACTTTACTGGCCCGGCAGAGATTGAATTGCACCCCTGTTTGAATCATCACTTTTTCGAGCGTCCAATTTCGCGAGAAAATGCTGCAAAATACGACTTTTTAGGTAATCTGTGTAGTCCGTGTATGTTTGTATGTATGCATTTCTTCGAACATCATAGGGGAAGCCACCCCCGCCAACCCTCCCGCTGCCTTGTAAATTCTATCACACCCTTTCTTGAATCATTGCACCCCTGCTTGAATCACCACTTCTTCCGACATCATGGGGGGGGCTGCCGCCCCCCCCAACCCCCCCGCTACGTTTAGATTTTCTACAGAGATGCACCCCTAGTTGAATCATCAATTCTTCGAACATCATGGGGGGGGGCTGCCGCCCCTCCCAACCCCCCCGCTACTTTTTAGACTTTTTGCAGAGATTTAATTGCACCCCTATTCAAATCATCACTTCTGCAAACAACATCGTGGGGGGGGCTGCCGCCCCCCCCCAACCCCCCCGCTACTTTTTATGTATTTTTTACAGGGATTGACATGGCCTCCTACTTGAATCATCATTTCTTTGACCCCGTCACACGATTTGTTGGTGATGCTAGGGATGTTGGCGGGACATGCGGGTATATTTCGCGAGAACATGCTGTAAAATACGACACTTTACTGGCCCGGCAGAGATTGAATTGCACCCCTGTTTGAATCATCACTTTTTCGAGCGTCCAATTTCGCGAGAAAATGCTGCAAAATACGACATTTTAGGTAATCAGTGTAGTCCGTGTATGTCTGTATGTATGCATTTCTTCGAACATCATAGGGGAAGCCACCCCCGCCAACCCTCCCGCTGCCTGTTAAATTCTATCACACCCTTTCTTGAATCATTGCACCCCTACTTGAATCACCACTTCTTCCGACATCATGGGGGGGCTGCCGCCCCCCCCCAACCCCCCCGCTACGTTTTAGATTTTCTACAGAGATTTAATTAATTGCACCCCTAGTTGAATCATCAATTCTTCGAACATCATGGGGGGGGCTGCCGCCCCCCCCAACCCCCCCGCTACTTTTTAGACTTTTTGCAGAGATTTAATTGCACCCCTGTTCGAATCATCACTACCCCGCTCTGTTTTTCTTAATTGTTTTTTGGTATTTTTTTTTGCTGGGATTGAAATGCCCTCCTGTTTGAAGCGTTATTGTTTTGACCCCGTCAACCCGCCAGCTACATTTTTGGATTTTGTTACCCACGATTTGTTGGTGATGCTAGGGATGTTGGTCGGACATGCGGGGGATGTTGAAAACGATGCTGGGGATGTTGACGAGCTAGTGTAAAATGCGTCAATTTCGCGAGAAAATGCTGTAAAATACGACATTTTGCTGGCCCGGACGAAAAACGAAAAAAAATCCCAAAAAAAAACGAAAAAAAATCCCAAAATAAATCCGCACCCTTTGTTTTCCCTTGCTGGTTTTAAATGGAATCTATCACTACTGGAAATATTGTTATTTTTCCAGGTGGCTTGAGCAAATGGAAGTTTACGTGGGGGTTCTTGTTGATTTCGGCGGGGTAGCTTTAGTTAGAGGTTCTCGTGAATTTTGAAGTGTCCGATAATGGAAAATTGCCATATTTGCAGCATGTGTCAACACCCCCCCCTTAAAGTTTGTATTGAGGGAGGGGATGTACCCCCGAAAGGGACAAAGTACCGGGCCCTCCCTTTCCCTGTAAAGCACTGACCTACTGTGAGCGGGCAAAATCCTGAACCTGTTGATAGATAATTTATCCCAATATTGTCAGGGTTCTTGTCCGTATAAACCTCCAATCCGGGGCTAAGCCGAGGTGATGATGAGGTCCTTTACTGAGGATCCCTCATGTCCAGTTTGGGAATTGTGACAGCTTGCCCAGAGTATGTCAACCGAAGTGTGACCTTGCAAACATTGGCCCAGCGGTGTTAGAAATCGCCGATTGCTGCAGTGGCAGCGCAACACCTAGCCAAGACTGATGTGACAATGAAATACGTCTCTGTATCGGAACGAAACAGAAATTATAGCCAAGATATTATGCCCAGACAAGCACGAGTATAACACTGGATATTCCAGGTCGAATTCTCAGGCCCCGGTGCCGTAGGCCATGGACTTCTTCTAAATGCAAAACTACTGTATACTTGGTGGCTCCCAGCCATCCCCGTAGCCTTTTAGCTTTTTAGTGTTTAGTGGTAGTTTCCATTTAACCCACTAAAAGTTAAACTTTCAGCGGGGGATCTTAGGGCAGCCCAGTACACAAACCAAGTACTGTATGTGCGCGAGTTTGGATCAAACTCGGCGTGCAGTTTGCTGGCATTGCACTTTGCTCTGGAAGAGTGTTCGGCCAGACATTTGTCCCACGTTTTTCGTGATTTCGATTCGCACTGGTTGGCTACAATGATTTGGGGACCTGTGCTGTGCGTGTGGTGTTGTTGGCCCGTTTTCACCCTCCCCCCCACATTTCACCCAAGTAAGTGGTTGGCATTGAATATTTGTGGTCAGTACGGTGTACGAAGCATTGCTTAGAGTCTCCCAAACGGTCGAAACAGCCTGCAGCTGCCAGTTGTTCAGCACTCATTCAATCATGGACCGTTAGGAATGTCTATGAAGGGCATTGCTGCAAATATGCCCAGGACAAACCAGGGATACCGTACGTCCTGAATGAGGCCTAATATGATATTAATTCTCAAGCCACGCACACACAGAGCGCAATAGACCCGCTTGTGTTTCCCTGAGTACAGGATCCATGCTCGGGTAATCGTATTTGTTTTATACGACTTGGATTTGGCCGTTGCTTTAGGATAGGATGTCCTCATTTGGCATCAGTGATCAAGGTTTGCTGGACAGACTCTGCTTCAGGTTCTGGATCATCCAGTACTACTTGTTGTATGTCGTTTCTGCTTGCCGCCAAACATTGACACGTTTAGAGCTTGAATGCTTCATGATGCTTCACTTGTGGGTCGTGAGGGTAATGATGGTGACTTAAGTGTATTTGGCTGTCCTTTTTGCATAGAATTTGTTGGTGCTTTTGTCGGCTGTGCTAGGTTGAATGCCTGATAGTTGGCAGTGGTCAGGCAGAGTTATTAGCTTTCTAAGGTCTTTGGTGTGACCCTTGGATGTTTTAGAAACATTACGGTTGGCTCGGGGGGGAGCAACCCAGACTAGGCAACATGTCACATGCCTCGAATGTGGATGTTGCCAATGTTTGGGCTTTTTTAGCACTTACCACGCATTTTCAACAGGTAGGACATCAACACCTCTACTTAGATGGTCCGGGACTTAGCTGAGTGGTTAGCTTGGCCATGGTTTTTACTCATCAAAACCATGGTTGGAAGTCCCCTTGAAGCGGGTTGTAACCACTTAGCGATTCATCCCGGATCATCTAAGAAGATCTCACGTCTCAGGTTTTCTGGGACTTGGACAACCTGAAGCCAAGTCCAAGCGTGTCGTTGCGATCTTGCATCCTGGCGCTGGGCATGCGCATGAACAGCACCTCAGCTGTCCAAAATCGTTTTTGTTTAACCTTTTCTGGAGTCGCCTCATGCTCCCCCACCAAATTGACCCCAACCCCCCGCCCAAGGAGTTCAATATTAAAGGATTCGTTTCAATGTGTTGTTTCTGTCGGGCAAGGGTTTTCGGAGACCTCCCCAAAGACCCTCAAACAAACATTTGTTTGCTATTCTGTGCCAACGTGTCCTCGTGCCTGGTAGTTTGCAGCTGTAGATTATCAGGACGTCCTCCAGTACTGTCAGGTGCCCCCACGATCGCGTGACAGCAAATTTGAGGGCCCCAGTCTCGTCAAGCACTCTCCCTGCTTTTAAACATGTTCAATCAATAGCAGACACATGTGCATCAATCATTGTACAAATTCATTGGGGGTCGCCTGAGTCTCTGAAAAGGGTCAAAAGGTGCAAAAAGGGTCAGGTGATTTCTCGAGTAGCTTTGCCCAACAGGGGAAGGTTTCTCGAGGAGCTTTGCCCGAGGGGAGAGTTCCAGTCATGGTGCAAGGGTTGATTGTTCTGTTTAAAGAGACAATATGAACATGGAACCTGTGACTTTCTATACTAGTTTACGGGGTTCCCCCGACTTGTTTTTCGCTGAATCACTTGGTATTGTCGAGTAATTTTAGAATCGACACATGAACCTGAAACAATAATGACACTTGGGACTCATCCAGTTCCAACAAACATATATTGAAGCCGCTAGATGCCCCCGGAAAATTGTCTTCCACACATTAATCAGACCCCTCCCCACCAGTTCGTCCCCCAATTGGTGTGGGGCCATGTCTCCTCCAACGAATATCGAGTTTATTTAAGGTACCTGTATATTCATTTGAGCCAAAAAAAGTGCGCACGATGGACAAGTGCGCATTTCAAGTAAAAAAAACTCCAAGAACTGCGCGAGGCGTTTTTGGCCGGGTTTAGTAGAGGTTCTGCGCATAAATAGCCTTGACATCAACCTGTCAAGCTGTTCAACAAGAACTAGGAGAAGGATAAATGAGCGCCTTGTCGACCATAACTCGCCCCAATGATCCAAGGAACCTGCGTGCGTTTTGGCTGCCTGTTGGGCGTTATCTGTCTAGCCTTGCATCTTGGCAAGCCAGCTCGATGGACAAGAGAAACAAGTTCAACTTTGAGATTCCAAGAAATCCGAACACCGCTGCCAGGTTGAAAGGGATCGGCGCAGCTTCAACTGACCACACCTGGCTCAAGATAGAGCTTTTGGTTGGCAATTCGGGCGCTTCGGGACATCTTCTGCCTAAAAAGGTCTGAAACGCGCACATGCATGTGCACACTTTTCGTATTTGCGCGCAATTGCGGAAATTTGCGCGCCGGAAATTTGCGCGCACATTGTGGGTTGGCAGGGCGCCCAAAAACGACTAAATTTCACCTGACAGCGACTTGTCTCAACAAAAAGTGTGGCGCAGACACGGTCCTGGAGCACCAAATTCGACTAATTACCTGAGTAGTTTTATCCGAAAAGTGCGCAAATCCTCGAAAAGTGCGCAACTTCCAAACCAGCGCACAAACAATCCACAAAACGCGCAGACAAGCATTTGAGCAGAAAAAAGTGCGCAAACGAAGATACTGGTACGTAGACAAATATGAAACAGAGTGAGGAAACATTGCTTTTGGATTTTCCCAGATATGGGTCGCTATTTGGGTTCCCTTTTTGGGTGAACTGTTTGGTCCCAGACCCCCAGCGACGCATTTGGCTTTGTTGGGGTCCCTTGAAGAGCGGCCAACCAAAGATGCTCTTTCCGGTGGACATCCGCAACTCTCGGTCTATGCATATCACTTGTTGGACGTCGCTTCATTTTGGAAAATTGGGCCATGTTTTAAGCTTCCCCTTTTTGGTTTTAAAGGGAAAAGGACCATCACCAAGTTGGGGGTCCCTGAAGTGCAATTAGCCTCATTGAAGCGGACACCCAAATGGCTGTTGTTTGATTCCGTGGAAGTTTGCCTTTTAGGTCTCGGTTTGTCCAAACCAGGCGGGGGGGGAGGAGTGCTGGGCAGGCACCAACACCAAAGTCCACATCTTCGCCAATACCCACACCTGGAGCAGACTCTATGTTGCAACTTGCCGGCTGTGATTTGGGGCTGCCAGTTTTGGACAGGTTTTTGCTGGGTACCCTTTCAATTGTTGGGTTAGGGAAAGCCACCTTGTTGGATATGTTTTGAAGTGACAAAGGCATGTGTTGGAGCCACGCTGGGTTGGACTGGCTGGTTGGATATGGAGTTGTGCCTTTTTCTCGAATACCCTTTCTCGGTTTTAAAGGGCCGCCAAAAGGAAACACCAATTTGGGGGGTCCCCTTATTTTGACCCATACTGTGGATGGACGACATTCTGCACCACCTAAGAAACCCTGGTTTCTGATGATTCCCCCGTAAATACCACCAAACGGTATAGTTTCAACCATGGTGTGATTTCGTGGTGCCAAGCGGCTTTTGTCCATCCGCAAGTCGGTGAGCATGTTTGTGGGCAATGGCCAGCCAGGCGAAAGCAGACGGGTCAAGTCCGGAGAGCGGCGAAGCGGTTGACTGGCCGGAGGGAAACCTGTCTCAGCCGCTGGGCTTTTTTTATTGCGACCACTTCGCCCCCAGACAGACTGACCACTTTGTTTTGCGTGGAAACACATGGCTTTCCATTCGACCAAGAAAACAAGTTAGACATGTTGCTCAGGGGTTTGGAGCTTCCCAAGACTTGGGGGCTTTGGTGCTTCAGCAAACCCGTTGAACAGGTTCTATTGACACTGCGGGTAGCATCCGAAATCAACCCAGTTGTTCGAAGCTATTTGTGTCGGCATCAGGCAATCACAGCATCGCTGACAAGGGGCAAGATGCTCTCAATACTTTGGGCCTGGACTTCAATCGGGGTTCTGCTTTGCGGGGTCGTTGTTGGACAGATCCGGCGTGGGCATATCAATTTCCGCACATTCTAGCCTGCCACGGTTTGCACTTGATGCTTGCCGATGCTTGGCACGACAGCACACGCACAAAGATGAGGGTTTATGTTGTGGTTATTGAACATCGTTTTCTGCTTTGGTTCTCGGTGAACTAGATGTCCCGATTTTCCGGGTAAGACATGTTGAACCTTATGTCTGCATGAGCAATGTTCGAGAGCGGTCCAGCAACGATTCATCGCTTCGGGTAGTGGTTTCGTTTGAATGTATATCAAGTATTGCGCGAGAATTGGCTGGCTGGCAGGCACAGTTGTAGTCAAGGCTGCGGATGGTTTTCTGGGGTTTGGGAAAGAGTTCACATGTAGATGGTGTTCTAGCCATAAGGAGGGCGTTGGGGCCCCCACCCAGATGTACATATGTTTGCCTGGACTGACAGCAGTACCAGTTGCTTGAGAGGCTGAATCCGCATATGAATGGGGACACCTGCCACCAAAACGCCGAAGGACGTGTTCCTGCTTTGTTTGTTCGCGGGTCCATGCAATGAGCCTTTGAGGATGGTTTCTAGGATTGTTTTGACTATCAAAGTATTTTCCTCACGGGAACGTGGGGTATGCAACCACTCTAGAACCACTATATCAAGGGCCTACATCCAGTTTTCCCTTGAAGGTTTGTGGTCTGGGATTAGTGGAGCCATCTTAGAGGGGTAGTAGAGGGGTCAGGTGTCTCTTTTGAACTATACAATCGGATTATAATAAGACACATATTTTGCGTTGTGTGACAACAGCTGAGGTGGGGGTTCCGGTTCCACTACCGTCAGGTGTAACACCACTAATTACTATGAGCACTTTTTATGAAGGGTATATATCCAGTTTTGCCTTGGGCAATGTTTGGGTGTAGTGCAAATATCTTAGCTGTCTGTCCAAAGGCAATCCCCAATCTTTTCGTTGCGCAATGAAGAAGGCCTTTGTCGTGATTTTCCGCAGGGGATTATGGCATTCAATTCGCCCACCCTCCATTTTCAATAATTAGCCCAGTCAATCATGGGGCCAAAATCGATGTCTACCAGCTGACTTTGGGCCATATTGCTTTTGAACAGAGGGTTCCAGCTCAGGATCCATCCAGATGCTCTCTTCGGACCTGGCTCGCTGCTTTGCGCGATGCGAAGCCGAACAGGCCGACGCCCAGAACCGTCAGACCTCTCGCTGAGCGGTTGGGCGCAAAGCGCGGGGCTGCTGCTGCAAGAACGCCCCAGGGCTCACATTGAAAATGATTTTAGGTCTTCCCCAATAGGATGGCTTTTTGTTTTCCCTTTAAACCGAATCCTTTTGAGGCTTCCCCGAAAGGGCAACCAAGACGGAAAGTGTCCCCATTCGGTCGCGGGAAGCAATGTTTGACGTTGGTTTTTGGTGCAGGCTGGGGATGTTGCTCCACCAGTATGTCATGTTGTTGAAACAGTTAACAAGTTTTGGCTTATTGCACAATCACATACAAATCAAGTAATTGCCCTCCTGTCCAGGTTGCTATGGAGCCTGACTGAGGGGTCCTGAAAGACAGGTTTCTTTAAAAAGGACCATTTCCCTGGTGGGTTCAAAAAGCACACTGAATGTTGACCCCTGATGAACTATCCCCCCCGGGTTTTGAATGAAAGGATTCCCCACTAAAAGGGAGCCCCCTGACAAGAGGTTCCCAGCCGAGGCGGGGCCGAGGCGGTGCTCTTCCACCTCCGCCGCTTCCTGGCGCTGCACGCGGCAACTTTCACGGCGGTGCCTTCCACCTTCCAGGCTGCAGACCGGGCGCTGTCGCAGAGCCTGCGACGGGAGGCGTTTTGGGAGGGAGGGGGGGGGGTGTCGTATGACGTTCATGTTGTAGCCCCCTGGAAAATGGGTTATGGCGAAAAAATGGGGGGGTGAATTCCGATTTTGTTGTGGTAGTTTGCGGGTCCAGGCACCTTCTTAGGGTAATTGTTTGTGTTGGATTTAGTGTCCATGGCACAGGGTCGTCTCCTCCAAAAACTATGTTATATTTTGGGGTTGACCGAATTCTTATGCTTCTGTGTTACCCCAACGGTTTCTAGCGCGGAGGGAGGGCCGCCTTAGGTGGAGGCTCATCGCCGATCGAGGGGCACGGTGGTGGTAGTCTCCGGCGATGCCGACTTCGCGCACGGTTTGGACTTTGCGCGGCGCCAGGGCTGGCGCACCGCGCGGCTTGGCCCGAAACGAGGAAGCCAGGAGGGAGCAGAGGTCCCTAGATGTGCGCTTCCTGCGGGTTTCGGGTTTTGAACATCACCTCTTTGGGCCAATGGGCCGGTGTGTTTTTGTTAGGGGTGATTTTTAAAGATGAAATCTAGGGAGGTGTAGGGAGTGCATGGCCATGGCTTTGTCCTTGGCGGCAGTGGAGGCAAAACGAGAGGCATCCGATTCGTATTTCAGGTTTTGGATTTATGGTGGCTGGACTTTGGTCAACATGAACACGTATCCGGACGAATCGTTAACCCACCAAAGCCATGGTCAGTACCCAATCCGCGGGTTGGAACCAGGGTTGCTAGCCACTAGTCTAGTCCCGGACGATCTAAGCAGTTTGCAGTCCATTTTGAAAAGACATGGGGGGACTCATTGTATTTTCCCACAAAACCAGGGGACTCACTATTTTTCTGCGCCTTCTTCGGTAATTTTGACCATGGCCCGTGCGGGGGAGTAAACGGTGCCTCCCCTGCAGATTGACGTGGACTATGATGAAACTCCTTGTTTGATGCATTTCCTTTCAGACGCTCTAAGATGGTTGTTCTGTTTCTTCCGTTAAATGCAACAAACATGGTTGGTTTCCCTAGCCACCCACAGCGGCCGGGGTGGCCGGGTGGGGGGGGGGGTATCCTAAAAAAGGGTAACCATAATGTTGTGAAGATTCGGGAACCCCTTTTGGTTCCAAACAGAATCCAAAGAGAACCAAGCAGCTGAAGGACTTTGCTCAAGGATATAGCTTTATCCCCCCTGTTGTTGTTTTTTCTAGGGAATCTATTGCTGCTGTTTTGTGCTTCCCCCAAGGGGCTTAAGCAAATGGGAATGGAAGTGTTGGAACATATTTTGGAAACACCTACGCAACTTACTCCTCCCGTTTCCGGTTTGGTCTTGCCCAATGGAGTCCCTTTGAGTCTTTCTGCACGCTACCTGGAGCGCTTTTCGTTACCTAAATTTCTGCCCTTAGCCCAAACGTATTGCAAAACCAGGAGTCGTCACCAAAACATGGTAAGCATGCACGTTTTCCTGCTTCAAGCACTCTTTCCAAAACCGGGCTGACCAGTCCTCCAAGATGATCGGTCGCTGAAAGGAGCGAGCAGAAATCAAAGTGCAAATCGAGCGCACATATCTACAAAATGAGCGCAAATATTTCAGCACGTAACAATTGCCCGCCTTCCTCCGATGGAAGAAGGGGATTTGATCAAGCGTTTTTTGCGGGGAGTGAATGTTTTTTTTTTTTTTTTTTTTTTTTCTCGGGGGTCGAGCAGAAATCGGTGATCCGAGCGTTTTTTGTACCTATAAACAAAAACACGTTGGGTGCTTCGCCTTTATAGGGTCAATATGAGGTTGATGCCCTTCCCGTCCCCAAAGGGCTACTCACTTCCCCTGTATTTGCACTTGCTAGTGTTGGAGCAGGCAAGTTTAGTGGTGGGCTAAGAGTTTACACTTGTTTCGGCCAGGCCACTCAGGAAGTCAAGTTTTCCAGGTTCTTGGAGTTGAAGAACCCAACAAAGCAGAGACCAAGGCTGGTTTCAACTGGAGCTTCATTGCTGCGTGCGCAGAGGAACTTGGGTTGGGCCAACTGCTGCGCCCTTGCGAGCAGCTTGCGATTGGAGGGGCTCGACGTGTTCATCAGGAACAAAAAGGCGCGAAATCAGGCTTACTATTTAGCTGATTTTCGAACCTTCAACTTTAGGGGAAATGCATATTTTGCCACAAGCTACCAGCGGCTACTGCTTGTTTGGATCTTGAACCTTCCACTTTGAAGGAGATTCGAGCGCTTTGCAGCAAATAAGCTCTTGGCACAGGAGAAATAGCCACAACCTCCGATGGGTTTGATGATTTGTGTTTATCATTTTCGGAGAGGGGTTTCAGTGGGAAATCAGCTGCGCACAAATAGGCGCAATCGGTGGGTGTGTCTTTTTAGGAGACCCCCAAGAAATTGTGGTTTGCCTTCTGGGCTCCGCTTAAACCCTTGAACAAAAAGACACAGTGTCCTTTTCTTGCCAGATGAGGTCTTCGCTTTCGGATGCATTGATCAGCTGGCCATGGGTTTCGGCGGCCTGAGAATTGTTCAGGTGCTAACATGGCCGTCCCACAGACCTTACAGCTTAGGCAAATATACCAATGACAACTGAGCAGCGCCCACAACCCTGAGTGGCCATGAGTCCCATGAGTGGTTCCTACACTCACTTGCCCAAAGCGAATCAGCCCTAGGACACCTTTTGGTGTCCTTCGGGTCATTCTTAGTCAAGGTTCCAAAAGGTGATTTTCTTTTAGTTCCAGGTCCCCAAAGGGCAAGTGAGTATATGCACCATTGTTCGCTGGATGCCTTGAATATTGCAACCAAGGGACCAAGGAGAACCTCCAGCCAACCGTCAGTTTTTGGCGGTTTTTCTGGCCGGTTTTGGGTTGCAAAGGGGCTGGGAGGGCTCCATGCAGCCGGTTGGTGGATGTACCTTGCCATGGATCATGTCGACTAAGGACAGGTCTCTTTTTGGTTGGCTTTCTTGATTCAAGGCAAACCGATTTGTTTGTTTACGAATAACCTCACTCCCCTGAGTTCATGGACTGTGTGCTTTTTGGGGAAGACCATGCTGGTGATCAACAAGTTTCGGCTGGCCAATTCACACAGGAAGTGAGTAGCTGTGAAGTTGATTAATGGGTCGACATGATCCAAAGCCAAGCCTCGAGCCGACCGAGGCTCGGCTGTGCGCCAAACCGCTTGCCCATTCACCCGGGCAACCACTGGGCCAATCAGCCTGGTGTGGTGGTGCGGTGGCCCAGCCGTTGGCCAAGCGTTGCCGAGAGGACTTTGCTTTGTTTGGTTCTGCCTCGTTTGGCTGTGGGTCAAAACCAATGGTACCATTTTGGGGTAGGTGCGCCCCATTTTAGTCTATTTTAGTGGGGATTGGGATGTTCACTGGGCGTACGGGATTTTGACCCATGGCCATTTGTCAAGTAACCTTAGTTGATGGCTTGGATTGGTTTGGAAATTTTGAGCCCCTGGTCCTTGTGCAGAGTAAATGGGAAACCACCCGCTAACCTCCAAACCACCAATTAGAGGGAAGCCTGGTTGGTTTCCCTTTGGGCAAGTTCATGGACTTTAGCCAGTGATGGTTCTAAGCAAAATTGTGGACTTGGTTTTGCCACTCCACTCAGGAAGCGGGGCTTGGTTTGTTTCTTGGTTTCTGATGATTGTGAGTCTGTTGATTGTTTTGTTCCCCAGCCCATTTCGAAGTTCCTGGCACTTTATTGAGGAGACACTCTTTTGAACACAGATTTACTCCTGAAAGGCCAGAAGGTGTTGTAGTACATGGTGCCCGGAAAACCTTCTGGGTTCCATGTGAATTTGCAAGGGTTCTGTTGTCTGAGCTTGTTTCCGTTGGCTACCTTGCAGTTGCCCGGCAGCTAGTCTTTGGCAGGTGTCCCTTTCCAATCAACTTCCCAGAGTAGGGGCATCCATTTAATGGCGGTGTCAAGCTTATTTATGGGTGTGTGGTTTTGAGGGTACATGTTTTTTGTGGTTTGAAAGGGAAGACCAAAAGCAAAGCCACCGTTCTCGCGGGATCCCCTTTTTTGGACATTGGTGCCGCCCAAATGGAGCCCCCCGTGAGGGGGATACGAAAAAGGGCCCCTACTCTTGAAAACCCGAATCGAGACGGATCACCTTTGGATCCGCTCTTGGGGCTGAACAATGGCCCTGTCCATTTCAATGATCGTTGGAAGGAAGATGGTCTCACTCCCTGAGTTCATGGACGTTTTGGGAAGACCATTTTAGCGGCAATGCAACACACACACACCATGCAGGTTTCCGTATTGTCTTGGAAACCCTGCTTTGGATGGTCAAGGGCGTCAACAGGGAGCAAGGCCGTAACACAACACAAGATCCCCATGATAGAAAACGCCAAGATGCCCCGATGCTCCACTCAAAACGCTATGCCTGCTGGCAAGTAAACGGCTGTTGACTTTGTCCAACTCCAACTTTTGTGTAATAATTCCAAAAGCTCTAATACGGGATCCCTAAGTAAAAGACCTGCGCCATGGTCTGCTCGTTTCTCCCATAGGTGAGCTCACCAGTGACTAAACATGAGTAAACCACTTTTGTTTTCACAATCTCCTTTAGGCTTTCTTTTGGACAATCTGCTTGTGTTCCTGTAAAGAAAGCCAGGGGTCAGTTGTTTAAACAACACCTGCCCAACCTGACTGAAGGCGCTCCAGACAAAAGCCATTTAGCCCAGTGCTTCCGGATTAATTGTTTGGGTTTCTTGCCCTTAGGCTCCACACATTGTGTTTTTTCGGTTACCTACTGTGGCTTGCCTGGAAGCACTGGCCGCTCTTCGGACATCCATGAGTCGGCAAATCAACTTGGATGATTCTTTCAGGGCGCTGCTCTCATGATTGGATCACATCAAACTTGTTACTACTGGGGGAAGAGCCTAAGGCCCCCTCCCACCCACCCGAAAGTACTTTCTTAAAGTCTTAGAGGGAGTTTGGTTCTTTGAAGGGTCCTGAAAACTTTTCAGAGGGGCCAGCGGCGGGCTTCGGATGTCTCTCCTCTACTGTGTTTGCGTGTACATCTATACGTTTTTGCGAAAGTGCAGTTGCCAGCAAGTGCCATATTATGGATCGCCTCTCGGGGTGACCTTTAATGTTTCAACTTGTCTTACTTATGGCGGAATGTGCCACCATACATCTGGGTTCTTCTCAAACTTCGGGGACCCCTCTAGGTGGTTGGTTTCCCTTTTAATTTCCCTCCACAGTACCAAGAGGAGTCCCCGATTTTGAGAAAACCCATCTAACTGCGTAGCAAGTCGACGAGCCAGGCAGTCTGAAACCATGATCTAAGAGGTGAGTCCCCGTTCTATTCAGCTATCCTTTTCAGAAATCTCCCGTTTCACATCGGATTTGTGTTTTTTGTCGAAGAGAATCCTCCGAGTCGCTTTGGGGTGCTTGCGCCTGTGTTTCTATCAGCATGGCATTTGTCTCCAGATTTGAAACAGGGTTTGACAAGTGACTTTGGTTCGCTGTGCTTGGCTGCTCTTTGGATGGATCCTCAACCTTCAATTTGTTTCTAAACTCAGTTGTCCAAGACCCACCTTTTGACCTTTGGGTTTTCCCATGAGCCTCAACATGGTCTATGAGATGTCTGGCTAAGCGCTTCTTATGCAACGGAGCTTCCGGCCATGGACCTACGCGCAGAACAGGGCGCTGTTTCCGATTCTGCCAAAGGCGCAGGCTTGCGAGCACATTTTTCGGCAGTGGGTCACCAACAACGCGCCATTTGTTTTCTCAACCCACTGGTTGTCGCTGTGCAAGCTGACGAGGACTACGTCGGGAAGATATCCAGCATAAGTCGGCGGGTGGGCGCTTCTCATGTCATCCAAAGGGTTCTGGAACGTTCCCTAGCTGCCTCGTTTAAGCATTGGAAGAGGAAAGGCTTGATCAAACTCGGACTTTGGGCGCGGCTAGATTGAGCGATTTCCTTGTCCTAGGCACTGACGTTTCTCCGGGGGGGGACATGTTTAGGGTTTTTTGGGTCCTGAAAAGGTGATCACCTTCTAATTTCTGGGTCCGGACTGGGCAGGTGAGTAAAAGGCACATGTGAGAAAACGAGTTAAAGATATTGCGCAGGGGGCAATCGCCAAGTTGAGAAATTCCGAAGCCACACACGGCCACGCTCTCGACGAAGCCGAGGCAGCAGAGTGGTCATCCCGGCAGAGTGTTTGACACAGCACGGTTTGTATTCCGCAGGGTGTTATCCATTGTTTCTTTTGGAGTTTCGAATAAGTGGCAGTTTCCGTGGAAACCGCCAGTAAATTGCAGCCTTGAAAGAGCAAACCAGGTAGCCCCTGTTGCATCGGGGCAAAGGCTGAGTTACCCAGTGCTTCCGATTACCACTATAGCCGGCAACCAGGCAAACCATCCATGGTAAAACTTAGAGGTAAGAATCCCCAAGACTTAGGTAAGACTTGGGTGGCCCAGTCGTTTTGGTTTTGCTCGAAGGTCATAATTTTTGAGACCCTATCTCTTGGCGATTTGTTTGGGTTGCTTCTGCTTTTGGATCTTCACCTAAATGCTTTGATCACCTAATTTGGTTCTAAAGCACCCCGCAAGGCTGTTCTATTTATTGAACAGCCCTGGCTTTTCCGGAGAATCCACCGGAAGGCCTTCGGCCCCCTCTTAGCATGTCCAAAAGCTTCGATCCCTCATGGCTTCTTTTCGGGGGGTGGGAGGTTTTTTTTTCAGCGACGGTGGTGTTTCTTCCAATCAACATCCAAAAGGGAGGCTTGTTTACGTGGAGAAACCCTTGTCTGACATGGTGCTTTCTTTGCTTGGTGTACTTAGTGTTTGGCATGTCTGGCAACGAACAGAGAGACATGTCCGAGTGGGCCCCATGGGTATTGGCAGCCCTGGGCTGGACGCAACAAGGAACTCCAATAGAGAAGTTCTGTGCAGCCACGTTCCCCGATACTTTAGGGGTCTCTTATTATTTTCAGGGTATGATAGGATTTGTGTCCGGTATTTATTTACACCGGAAAGCCAGTTTTTGCAAAACATACCCAAGCATATGGGGTGCTCTGAGTTTGGATTGATAATTCAGAGCTCCATTGCTGTGTTTAGTTTTTCTCCGAGCGGATGTCCATTTAAACATAAACCCCATTTTATATACTGTAAGGCTCCCTTGTTCCCATGGCCGCTGGAGGTTGGGTAATTTCCATGGCTTATATTCCATTCACTTAAGGTGTATTTGTTCTGCCTGATGAAATGGTCACTGGTAGGTTTGCTTCTAAGGCGTCGCCTTCACCAAATCATG